GGGCCAGAAAAAAGCCAGGGAAGTCCCCAAATAGGAGTTCCATCATAGAAGGAGAAAGGAAAGAGGGGAAGGGGATCAAGTTGATTCCAAGTCAAAGGCCCAGCGGAACAACTCTGTCTTGCAGGCCCTGCGGAAAGAAATCAGATCCTGCAGGGCCCTGGTCTCATGAGACAGAACGTTCCACCAAGTTGGGGCCAGTACTGAAAAGGCCCTGGCTCTGGTTGAGGCTTAGGGCCTGGGACCTCTAGGGTGTTGCTATTTATGGACCTTAAGGTCCTCCGCAGGGCATACTGGGAGAGGTGATCCCGTAGGTACGAGGGTCCTAGGCCTGTACAGTTTTCCACACCACTTGGGGGTCAAGAGGCAAGGCAGAGGGGTTGCGTCTTCAGCATTTGTGGAAAACTGTACAGAAACACACGCCTCTGGTGTTCCGCAGTTCCACAGCTTAGGAGCTGTCACAGAAAAGGCCCCTCCACAAGCAAAAAAATAAAATAAAAAATACTTCGGCAGAACTACCAAGAAAGGCTTCTTCTTTCTGATCTTGCAGTATCATAGAGTTGTAGAGTTTGAAGGGACCCCGGGACATCTAGTTCTTGAGCTGAGATTCCTGCTTGAAGCGGGTTGGACTAGATGACCTTTGGGGGTTCCTCGCAACTCTGCAATTCTAGGATTCTTTGACTTTGGAGAAGCACCTTTGCACCCCAGTGAATGTGTCTGGGTAGGAAAGGGTGTGGAGAAATTAGTAAGTTAAGAAAGCAGGTGAAAGTGTGCAGGGAGGGAACTTGCACACTTTTTTTGCAAGTAATTTCGATAGCGGGGAAGTGAACTGTGCTTCCGGAGAGCAGGGCCATCACTGACAGTGCTGGGGAGGTTATTCTGGGGGTCTGTTCATCCAAGAAACAACTCCTTTCAGCAAGGATCTGTAAAACAGAGCACACACGCTAGAATCAACTTTGCAAAAATGATTCCAAGCGTTTCTCGGGGATTCACAGCTCCCGTTGTTAAGTTACCTTTTGCATTGCACTTCAAGCCTCTTCAAAGTGCTTCATAGCCATTACTGTGCAAGGTAGATCAGTATTACCCCCATATGGTAGGTGAAGCAAGATTACATCCTTATTTACCTATATCACAAAATTTACCCACCGCTTGCTTGTGGAAACCTCCTGCCCAAAGCGGTTTACCAAAATGACAAAACTATAAAATTATTGCAGAGAAAAATGAACAACAACTATTTAAAACTTCTGAGATGAGGCAGGAACCTTTCTACATATGTGGTGGGAGTGCAAAGAGATAGTGGGATTCTGGGGAAACGAACTCAAAAAGATGTTTAGATTTTCATTTGGAAAAAACACCAGAATCCTTTCTCCTAAGTATCATGTCAGAGGAAATAAAAAGAACGATCAGAGCAATATTTATGTATGCAACTACGGCGGCAAGGTTATTGATTGCCAAAAATTGGAAAATGCAGCAGCGTCCCAACTAAAACAGGCTGGTTATCTAAAATGATGGAATGCTTCCATATTGCCGAACCAACAGGGAGGATAAGAGGAGATATGATACAAAAAGTGAATAAGGAGTGGGCTATCTTTAAGGATGCGGGTGGCGCTGTGGTCTAAACCCCAGAGCCTAGAGCTTGCCGATCAGAAGGTCGGCGGTTCGAATCCCCGCGACGGGGTGAGCTCCCGTTGCTCAGTCCCTGCTCCTGCCAACCTAGCAGTTCGAAAGCACGTCAAAGTGCAAGTAGATAAATAGGTACCGCTCCGGCGGGAAGGTAAACGGCGTTTCTGTGTGCTGCTCTGGTTCGCCAGAAGCGGCTTAGTCATGCTGGCCACATGACCCGGAAGCTGTACGCCGGCTCCCTCAGCCAGTAAAGCGAGATGAGCGCCGCAACCCCAGAGTCGGCCATGACTGGACCTAATGGTCAGGGGTCCCTTTATGTATTCTTTAAGGAATACATCAAAATTTATGTGGAAAAAGTAGAATTTCTGACAGATACTGTCCAGAGTGAATCCAGAAAATGACGAGAGTGAAAGGAGAGTAAAGTCAAGATAGAAGAAGAGATTAAAGAAATAATGAAATGCGTTTAAGCTAGCTGGAAAAATAAAGTAGCGTAACAAGAACGGCTGGAAGTCAAGTCACTTGGTGGGTGTCTGTGTGGGGTAGGTGTGTAGGTATAGTGGTGCCTCGCAAGACGAAATTAATTCGTTCTGCGAGTTTTTTCGTCTTGCGTGTTTTTTCGTCTTGCGAAGCACGGTTTCCCATAGGGTATTAACGGTTTTAAGAAAAAGGAAACAAACTTGCAAGACGTTTTCGTTTTTCGTCTTGCAAAGCAAGCCCATAGGGAAATTCGTCTTGCGAAGCAACTCAAAAAACGAAAAACTCTTTCGTCTTGCGCGTTTTTCATCTTGCGAGGCATTCGTCTTGCGAGGTACCACTGTATGTTGATATGTACAGTATAGGTAGGTATTATATAGAGTAATGTAGGTATGTTTTATGTTATGAAACTAAGGTAGTGTGTTGTGTATGTGTACTGTGTAAATGTTTATGTATGTGTTTTATATGTTCATTAAAAAATTAAGGAAAACAACTTTGAGATTGGTGAGTGAGGCTGACTTACTGGCAGAAGTGAGATTTGAACCCAAGGCTTCTGGGTTTACAGAAGAGTCTCTGAGCCGCTTTGCCGCAGGGACTTGAGCTGTGAGCTGCCGGCCCATCTCACTTTGATGAGCAGCCGCCTATCAAACGGCGGGCTTGGGTTGTGCAAAGTGGTGCTGGACTGGCTCTGGGCTCCATCCTCCCTGCCTCTCTCTTCTGAAATCCCTCTATCGGCATTTTCTTCTCCCCTTCCAGATGACAGACAGGAGGCTGCATTGAACCTGTCCAGCAATGGCATTAGCAGTATCAACATGTCAATAGAAATAAATGGAGTTGTCTACACAGGTAAATAGAAAGGGGGGCTGCTTCACCCGTGTAATTGCAGCCGGGAAATCCAATAAGTTATAGCTGCGGCCCGGCTGACGACCTTTCCCTCCGACCCTGATGTCTTTGCTACGATAAAATCCATCATCGTGAAGTCGCGGGGCCTGCAGTGTGCAAGAGACTGTCCTTTGCCCAGGTAGGGGCAAGAATGCATGCCAGGAATGTCAGGCAACCAGGTGGCAATTTTGGACAGCTCGTACCTGAATGTTCCTCTGATTCGGATGCCCTGGCATGCCTCTGTGTTACGCTCACCTGGCGTCCTCCTGTGCTCGCCTGCTTGTCTGGCCTCTCCGGCAGAAACCTGCCTTTCTCTGTTTTGTAAATAATATGAGAAGTCAAGTTTCTAGCCCTTATGGCTTGCAGAGGCAAAGCTGAGAACAAGGGCAGTGCAGGAGCCTCCTGGGCAGCGACTGGGCACCAATGTGCCCTAGATTCTTTATATAGATTCTCTTTTCTGCTGTGATCTCTTAGGTAGAAGCCTAATGTCGGCAGATTCAGGGCAGATAAAAGGGCTTTTTCGTGCAGCGTTTAAACTATGGAACTCACTGCCACAAGAGGCAATCATGGCCATCAACCTAGACGGCTTTAAAAGGCGATTAGGCAAATTTGTGGAGGAAAATGCTATCTATGGTTGCTAGCCAAGATGGCTATTCTCTGCCGTCTCCTCCTGTGGTTTCCAGCTGGTGGCATTCAGAAGCTTTGCTGTGTGGCCTGCAGTTTCCCTCCTCTACGAATTTGCCTAAATTCTCTTTTAAAGCCATCTCAATTCCAGATCTGGAGTTAGCCAAATTGACGGACATAATAAGGCATAAATCTAAAACTATGGTACAGAAACAATGGGAATGCTCAAATGAATATTTACACAAACAGGGCTCAAATACGAAAGTTTGGTTGTGCTTAGACTAACCTTGTGAAGAATATAGAGAACACAAAGAATTGATGGATTACAAAGGAACTTAAAGAAAGGAAGTGATGGAAGAACAGATGTTGAGGTGAACTAGATAACCAAGAGATGTGTGGTGAATGCTGTGGAAGTCTTTTATAATATTTCCACTAGGATTTATATATTGAAAATGTTTGAAATATGAATTTGGTATTATTTGATTGTGGAAAGTATTTTTTCTCTTCTTTCTTTTTATCTATCTTTCATCTCCTTTCTTTTCTAATCTACATTTTGAAAAATGTGTAGATAAATGTTTTTATGTATTGTTCAGTATTGGTCCTATTTCTTGCTTTTCTTTTATTTTCTTGTAATATTTAATAAAATTTGATAATGATGTATAAAAAAAATTAAAATAAAGCCATCCCAATTGGTGGCCCTCGCTGCCTCATGTGGCAGTGGGTTCCATAGTCTATACGCTGCATTGAGAGGTATAGAGAGGCAGACTTTGGGCAGCCCCTGCAAGGGGTGAAAGAGGCCGGCCCTCTCAGAGCCGGAATTGGGCAGCCGTGGCCCTCTCCTGAATTGCCAGGGGAGAGCCAAGGACCTCCTCTGTGAAAAAAAGACAGTCACGGAACCAAGAAATCACACAAAACAAAAGAATTGCCATGCAAATCCCTGAAACGAGAAGTACCGTATTTTTTGCACCTCCTAGAACACTCACTTTTTTCCTCCTAGAAAGTAAGGGGAAATGTCTGTGCGTGTTATGGAGGGAATGCCTACGGGTGGCATGCCTACGGATTTTCCTCCTCTAAAAACTACGTGCGTGTTATGGTCGGGTGCGTGTTATAGAGCGAAAAATACGGTAATCGACTATAGAATTGAATTAAATAACAAAAATCAAAAAAATTAAGGAAAAATTAACCTAGAATTAAACAAAGACTTAACGAGATGCCGCCTACAAAACTCGTTTCACTGAACTAATCCGTTTCCTCAGAAGAAAATAAAGAAATTATAAACCTTAAATGATTTTAAGTGATATCAAACAAATTCAAGAGCAGAGCTGAAACGCTTCTTTGAGTTTACAAAAAAGGTATAAAAACCTCAATGACAAGTTTTAAACATAGCCCTATTTAAGAGAAGATTATAAACCTTAAATGATTTTAAATGATTTCCAGCAAACTCAAAACGTTTTAGCCCTGCTTTTGAGTTTGCTGGAAATCATTTAAGGTTTATAATTTCTTTATTTCCTTCTGAGGAAACGGATGAGTTCAGTGAAACGAGTTTTGTAGCCGGCACCTCGTTAAGTCTTTGTTGAATTCTAGGTTAATTTTTCCTCACATTTTTTGATTTTTGTTATTTAATTCAGTTCTATAGTCGATGACTTCTTGTTTCAGGGATTTTCATGGCAAGTCTTTTGTTTTGTGTAAGGACCTCCTTTGTGGCAGATGGGAACCGCTGTAACCTTGGCCTCTCTTCTCCCGCCAGGTGTGCTGTTTGCCCGCAGGTCTGGCGTCGCCGGCAGTACCGCGAGTGCCCACAGCCACACCAGCCCCGTGACCTCGCAGAACCAGCTGCTGTCCACGGCGCCACGGGGCCACACTCCGGGCAGCACTTCGCCGTGAGGGGACACGTCCCGGGAGCCTCCTGCCTCCACCCTCGACCTGGCGACCTCGGGCGGCGGAGACAACGCCACGGTTGCCCTGTGCCAGGGCCCAGCAGAGGGCACCCAGGGTTGCGGCTGAGTGGGGCTGGGTGCTTCAGCCCCATCCTTTCCTGGGGGGTGGGATTTCCGGGCAGGATGGAACGAGACGCTTGAGCAGAGAGCTTTGGAGAGGACTTGAGGGGACTTGGAGAAGGAGGAGGAGGTTGGGGAGACCTCGAGGCCGGACTCTGGACTCTGGAGAAGACTCAGCGGCGGGTACGGGTGCTTCCTGCATCCGCTCCCCTCCCCTGTCAAACACGCACAGTTGTATACCCAGCACAAGCATGCTGTTCGCACACACAACACCTCACATCTCCGACGGGACATCGCTCAGGGCTTGGCATCCCTCGTGGGACTGAGGCCTCGCTCTCGCCTGCCCCATGCCAGGCTGGGGGATGCCAGGGGCAGAGGTGGGTGGGGCCTCAGCGCTGGCAGGCGTCATTCCAGGCACACAGGTGCCAGAGGTCTCTGCGCCCACGTGCGGGCGAGAAAAGAGGCATCGCCAGGCACGCAAGGAGGGCATGGAGCAAAACTGGCAAGGGGAGAGTCTCAGGGGCCAGGGAGAGAGGCCCGGGAGGGTGGATTTGGCCCCCAAGGCCTGGCCCACCTCACCCCGGACATTCTCTCTCTCTCTCACACAGTGGCCCTTCTCTCCGATCCATTGATGGGGTCTCTTGCCCTTTGCAAACCGCAGCTGTGGGGCATCAAAAGCACTTGGGGGAGATGCGAGGTGCGCAGAACCCCAAGCCTGGCGTTGAGTTTAGAAGGGAAGAGGGTGGATGTGGGAAGGGAAGCCAAAGGGGAAAGATGGAGGCCGAGGTGGCAGGGAATCAAAGAACGGGCAGGCGAGGCGGGTGATGGAAGTGGTCCATTTTGGGAATAAGACAGCAGCTTCCGGGGTTGGGGCTGTAGATCAGTTGCACTTGATTGTAGAAATTGCTTTTTCTCATCCCCCGCCGCTGTGGTACCCAACGCCTCCCCAAATGCTGTACCCTCTGCAAGGTGCCTTGGCGATGCCCGCTGGTCCCTTCCATCCCTTCCCCTCCTTGCTTTGCCAGCCCAACACGGGTGCCTCTCCTTTCCCCTCGTGCAACGCGCCCTCGTGCAAGTGCACACGGGCCGACGGATAGCTGACCTTGGCGCACTTTCCTCATCGCCACCCTGGGGAGCCAGTGGGGGACAGGCTGGGTTTGCCTCTCCCCCTGGTTAGGCTGCCATCGGGGGTGGGGAGCAGGGGTGGGTTGGGTTGGGGGGGCAATCCTTTGGAATCACTGGAGGGGTGGGGGTACGGGTGGGGTGTCGGGGAATCTCTTTTTGCGACCGTGCAAGGTTTATAGAGACGTACCAAAGAAGGGATCGAGTTCATCTACCTCATGTTCTTTTGAAAAATGTGCCAACGGGGGGAAGTGGGGGTGGGTTTGGGGAGAGGCAGGCCAGACAAGCTGGTGACTCGGCCTGCTTCCGCTGCTGCTGATTCTGCAGCCGACGGGAGCTTGGCTTTTGGTTTGTTTTGAAACAATCCTGTGCTTTTGACCAAAGAAACTCTCCTCTTCCCTGCTGAGCCACTTGCTGCACGAGATTTCATCTTCCCAGGCGGATGCTGCCTCCGGAAAAGGACGTTTCAGGACTCTCTGGGAAATGCAGACATGGGCAGAGGATGGGACTGCGGGTGGCGTGACTGTTTTTAAGCTCTTCTACCAAAGATGGGATGCATTTGGGCACTTGGTTCTTCCGCCGCGGGAATGGAGGCGGCCGGCGAGCTCATCTCTTGTCTCTCGTTTTCTGTCCTGCTTTTCCTGGCAGCTCCAGACAACCCCTTTGCTCCTTGTGTCTAGGTGGTGCTTTCCCGGCCCTCCCTGCTGCTACCGCTCCCTCCTGCTTCCCTCTCTCTCCCTTTCCCCCTTCCTTGTCTGTTTTTGGAGTCGATCCAGCGCACTGAGTCGGGAGCTGGGTCCTGGCACTCAGGGGAATGAATGCAAGTACCGATGAGATGGAAATAAAAGCAGAAATACTTTTAAAAGATGCATCGGAGACGAGTGATGTTTCACAGCAACAACCGCGCCCTACTCCCCGGTTGCTCTGAGGGTCGCCCCCTCTCGGTCTGATCCCTTAAACTGTTGGGTGATCAAGAACCGAGAACCTGTAACCTTTGACCAGCAAAGGAGGTTCTCTACTGCCCAGCCCATGTTCAATCAATAAAAACATAAATGCTTATAATACCGTTTATTGATAGAATATGTCCCAACATTTCATGCCTGGGCACCTTGAGGCAGCTCAGAGTCAGGTAGCCACCGAACCTTAATGATGGGATGGAACAGCAGAGCACTTGGAAATAAAAAGAGGAGATATAAACAGCAGTGGAACTGCAGGGGCCGGCCCATGCTAGAAAAATGAGTCTTTCTGCACATTGGCTATCACACACACTATGGAATTGCACCCCCCTCCCCAAAAGCCATGAGCTTGGGTGACTTTGAAAGAGACTGTGGTGTAACAGAGTGTCAGACTAGGAACTGGGAGACCAGGATTCAAATATGAGGCTCACTAGGCCAGCCACAGTCTCTCAGACAAGCCTACCTCACAGGGTTGTTGCGGAGATTAGAGGAGGAAGAGGAGAACTGCTTGTGCCATCTTGAGCTTGGAGGAAAGGTGGTCTATACATGTGGTTTTAAAAAGGCTTGAGGCAAATTCATGGAGGCAGCCAAGGCTACTGGCCACAATGGATTTGCCCCCTTTCTTAGTGCCTGCTAGACTATCACAATTAAATGAATGCAAAGAAAAACACAGTGATGCTTCCACACCATTGTCCTGGGATGTCATTTTCATCTATGGGTTTCCCCATCTTGTCTTGAGCATCAGAGGTGATTTACAGCAACATCATTGCCTCTTTCCATGGCAAGTAAACGCAAAGAATACTATTTCTCTGTATTTCGGAGGTGGCATATGATCACCCTGAGACTTTCGCTGCAATTCAATTCCAGGGCGGGGGGCAACCCAGAGAAAGGGCCCCCCTCCTTTTTATATTGTTCGTTCCTGATTATTTGTGCTCGCGATGGTATCAGGGCTGTTCTACACGATCCCCCGTTCCATTCTGTTTGCCCCTGCAAAATTTCAGGGTGGGGAAAAAACTCATTGCCAAGTCAAAAGCATTTCTCTGGGCAGCAATAATGCAACAAATTGGGGGAGAACCACAATGAAAACAGACTGGTGTGTGGATGGCTCAGTGTAAACCCACCACAAATACACAACGGTTGCATGGATGACATCTTGCACAATACACTTGCAGTAAAACGCTGGTCTCTTCTGTTTGTCTTGCTGCGTTTTCCCACAGATTTAGGGTCTGTTCACATTGGCAGCTTGGAATCAGAGAATTGTAGAGTTGGAAGGGACCTTGAGGAGCATCTAATCCAACCCCCTGGAAAGGCAGGAATATGCAACTGTCCCTTATGAGGATCAAACTTGCAACCTTGGCATTATCAGCTGAGCTGTTGCTGGAAGGCTCCTCTGATCCACATCAGGGTCAAACTAGACATTCTGAGAACTCAACAACAACACCACAAACTGGCTTATAAGTATTCAAACAACAAACATACTAAGGCAAATCCCGTGATTGATCCATGCATACAGCTTTGTGTTTCCAACTCAAGACCCATTGAAGAACATCTCCTCCAGTTCAATCTTTGAAATACAGCTTTGAAAAACTTTTTCATATTCTCCAGTGTGCTACCCATGCCGTTGTGGTGGTACGGGGTTGCCGTCCTATGATTGGACTTACGCTACTTGTTGAATGGTTCATTTATCCAGTCTGTATAATGTTTACTGCACATGTACCATATTTTTCGCTCTATAGGACGCACTTTTTTCCCCTCCAAAAATGAAGGGGAAATGTGTGTGTGTCCTATGGAGCAAATGCAGGCTCCTTGGCTTCAGCGATAGCAACGGGAAGCCTCCGAAGTGCAGAGGGAGCGCTCCCTCCACGCTCCGGAGGCTTCGCGTTGCTTTCGCTGAAGGTTGGAGAGCGAGAAGGGTCAGTGCGCACCGCCCCCTCTCGCTCTCCAGGCTTCAGGCAGCTATCCGCAAGCCTTCGGAGCGTGCCCCCAGCCCGCGCAACCTTGCCGCCACTCTCGGACCTGTTCTGGGGGCTGGGGAAGCTTGGGCTTCCCCCGCCCCAGTCCCGCGGCTAAAAACGAAGCCGCGCACAGCCTCTCCCAGCTGGAGAGGTTGCACGTGGCTAAAGAGGAAGCCAAGACAGCCCGCGGCTAAAGAGGAAGCCAAGACAGCCCGCTTGGCTTCTTTGCTCTTTGGGGCTGGGGGGGAGGAATAATTCCCCCCCTTTATTTCCCCCCCTAAAAACTAAGTGTGCCCTATAGTCCGGTGCGCCCTATGGGGCGAAAAATACGGTAACTTGCTAAGATAATCCACTCCATGTTTACAGTATCTCTAGGCTTCGTCTTGCACAGGGCACCTTAGTATGTTTGTGGTTTGAATGGTTACAAGTCTATCTCTATCCTAGCTATTATTCTAGTAAATTTGGTTTTA